ACGGACAGACAGACGTACGGCGTGACGGACGGACAAGTGCAACGCTATATGCTCCCACTCTGTGGGGGCATAAAAATAACTTTCTGATATTTATTGACAAAACAGCTTTGATCCATTACGTACATGTTTGACATTTTTCCAGAATTTATTTTTTAACTTCTCCGTTGTTTTTCCTTGTCTCCAACACGAAAACCCTATTAGTGAAGATGTTTTCTGTTGTGCATTTTTTCATTTCAAATAAACAAACTACATCTAATTGTTACGATTGATTTAATTGTTGACCAAGTTCAAGGTCAAATCAATGCAGTCTAAATGTCAACAAGCGAAGCGTATACACCATCTCAGTAGGGGCGGAGAATTGCATTGTTTATCCGATATCATTGGATAATACACGTCATGCGTATACTTAACTTCATTTGCATACGCTAAAACGGTTTGGGAAATAGAGTTTTTCACACGTTTATTTGTTGTGTTTTGATTATTGACACTTGTGACATTACGAGGTGGCGTTCTCTAAAAGCACAATTACTTGACAGGTAAAAGTGGTCGTTTAATGAAAAGATTGATCTCAATTAAGTGACTTATAAGCAGTCGCTGGTCGCGTTGAGCAAAAGTCGCTTAATACATTAAAGATATAGAGAGAAAATGATCGGGGGGAATTTAAAGTGGTCGTTTAAGACAAAAGTCGCTTAATACATGTGGTCGCATGGGCAAGTTAGACTGTACTTACGAGCTATGCATGAACAAGTTGAAAATTGCAAATTTATACTACTGTAAGTCAAGGGCAATAACTCTTACAAAACTGAAAAAAATCCACATGCAAAGTCCCAGGTTCATAGCTTCACAGTGATGTGAATCATTATTCCTGTAATTTAGTGATGTTGATCATTATTCGTATAAAGTTGGTTGATTCTAACTCAAGAACTCAAGGAACAAATAACAACATAATGAAACGGTTTTTACTAAGTCAAGGGAAATATTGGATAAATCCACAAGCGAAACCCCAGGTGCAAAACTAAATATGCTGAGCAACCTTCCCAAAAGGTTTTATGACTATAATGTCAAATCCTTTTTAAGTTACATGCGACACAAGTTGAAAATTGCAAACATTTTCTAAGTCAAGGGCAATAACTCTAAAAATACTAAATAAATACAGACGAAAATACCCAGGTGCACAACTTCACATGCTGATCAATATTCCTGTAAAGTTTCATGACTCTAGGTCAAATCCTTTTTGAGTTACATGCGACACAAGTTGAAAATTGCAAAATTTTACTAAGTCAAGGGCAATAACTCTAAAAATACTAAATAAATCCAGACGAAAATACCCAGGTGCACAACTACACATGCTGATAAACATTCCTGTAAAGTTTCATGACTCTAGGTCAAATCCTTTTTGAGTTACATGCGACACAAGTTGAAAATTGCAAAATTTTACTAAGTCAAGGGCAATAACTCTAAAAATACTAAATATATCCACATGAAAATACCCAGGTGCACAACTACACATGCTGATAAACATTCCTGTAAAGTTTCATGACTCTGGTCAAATCCTTTTTGAGTTACATGCGACACAAGTTGAAAAGTGCAAAATTTTACTAAGTCAATGGCAATTACTCTAAAAATACTAAAAATATCCACACAAAAATACCCAGGTGCACAACTACACATGCTGAGCAACATTCTTGTAAGGTTTTATGACTCTAGGTCAAATATTTTTGGAGTTACATGCGACACAAGTTGAAAATTGCAAAATTTTACTAAGTCAAGGGCATTAACTCTAAAAATACTAAATATGTCCATATGAAATACCCAGGTGCACAACTTCACATGCTGATCAACATTCCTGTAAGGTTTCATGACTCTAGGTCAATTACTTTTAGAGCTATGTGCAACACAAAAAGGGGACGGACGGACAGACAAGGGTAAATCTAAATGGCCCCCTATAGTGTGGGCACAACAAACTTGGTAATGCTGCCAATATTGTGTCTGGTTGTACAGGAACATCACTTAAAGGGTCTGGATATGACTACATTAGCGGACTTTGGGACAGATACTGCAGGTGTTATGACTGGCTGAAAAGGTGGAGTAGTCAAAGTACTGTAGAAACACTCTCCAGCACTAACAGGTGTCCATATTGTTGCTCATACAACAGCATTAGCCATTTCACAGGCAGCCAAGTGAGTACCATACTTGGAAAGCTCCTCCAGATCACAATGCAGCACTTTGTTCAAACTGATTTAGAACAAATATCAAATGTGGTAAACCAACCAGAGTCTTGGGAAGAGCATTCAGTGAGATAGTTAGGATCAAACTATTCATGTTATGCACTATTCTTACCCAACTCCCAGTAGAACACCTGTAAAGAAGGCAATATATGAGCCTTCTGCTTAAGGTCTACCACAGGAAATTTCTGAACATTCTCTCCTTTTAAAACTGTTGACTTTAGCATAGTTAAACCAATGATTACAAGCAGTGATGAAAGCTTACAGGACTTACTGCAGCAACTTGGACTGATACTTGAAAATTTTAGTTGAGGAAGATGGCAAGTATTGTGTACAAAAGGGCATTATCAGAATCTTACTGCAAAAGTGTAAACTGTCAACAGTGCAAAAATGATTTGATGGACTCTCCAAAGAAAGAGATAACAAGGCGATCAGTAAAACGGATATAATTATGCTCCCCGAAGCATGAGTCAAAAAACATGTGCAAGGCAAGAATATACAGGCAAAGTCATAAAGTAGGCACATTTTATTTTTCATAAACAAAGATGTAAAGTGAATGTTTACTGATTATATCCTCTACCACTGTGTGCAGTTTGTTATGCTCAAGATAAAAATTTCTAAAAGGAGAGATAATTCAAAAACAGGGCAAAATAGAATTATGGTTCCTTGGCACTGCACTCTGTCTCAATGCCCTATACCACTGTGTGCTGTTTAAACAAATTATCTCCAAGGGCTTTCAGGTTATGCTGCGGACAAGATTTTTCTAAAAAGGCACATAACTCAAAAACAAGGCAAAACAGAGTTGTGGTTCATTGGCACTGCACTATGCCTCAATATCCTCTACCACTGTGTGCAGTTTAAACAAATTATGTCAAAAAATTTTCAGGTTATGCTGTGGACAAGATTTTTCTTAAAGGGAAGATAATTCAAAAATGGGGCAAGAGTTATTGTTCTTTGGCACTGCACACTGCCTAAATGCCCTTTACCAGTGTGTGCAGTTTAAACAACAGTTTATGTCCAAGGGTTTCCAGGTTATGCTCTGGACAAGATTTTTTAATAAGAGGGCCATGATGGCCCTGAAATCGCTCACCTGTATATAGGCCCCTGGGCCAAGGCCAATTTTAAACCAGGGGCTTTTATTTGAACAAACTTGGTAGACACCTATTAGAAGATATTTTATGATAAATATCTAAGCCTTAGCTCTTTGGGGTTTTTATAAGAAGATTTTTAAAGTTTTTTCTATAGACATATAGGGAAAAACAATGACCCCCACCCCCTTTGGGGCCAATTTTGACCCCAGGGCTTTTATTTGAACAAACTTGGTAGACACTCACTAGATGATATTTCATGCTAAGTATCTAAACTCTAGCTCTTTGGGGTTTTTAAAAGATTTTTTTAAAGATTTTACTATAAACATAAAGGGAAAAACAATGACCCCCCCCCTGGGATGGGGCCAATTTTTACCCCAGGGCTTTTATTTGAACAAACTTGGTAAACATCCACAAGAAGATGTTTCATGCTTAATAGATAAGCTCTAGCTATTTTGGTTTTTTAAAAGAAGATTTTTTTAAGTTTTACTATATACAAATAAGGAAAATCAATGACCCCTTGGGGCGGGGCCAATTTTGACCCCATGGGATTTATTTGAACAAACTTGGTAGACACTGACTAGATGATGTTTCATGCCAAATAAAGCTGTAGCTCTTTCAGTTTTCTAAAAGAAGATATTTTAAGTTTTTTCTTTCAGTTGCCATGGCAGCCAGAGTTTTGCTTGGAATTAAATTCTTTGAACATTTTTTTAAAGTTGACTACCAAAGGAATATTCCTGTAAAGTTTGGATGAAATTGGCTTAGCGGTTTATGAGGAGATGTCGTTTAAAGTAAAAGTTTACGGACAGACGACGGACGGAAGACGGTGCCACTCTTGTGAATTATTTAGACACAACTAGGTACCTAAGTAGAACCACCATTTTGTTCCATAAGTTCGCTGGATAGCTTCCTCACATGGCAGAATTCAATGTTCTGGTGGGATGCAAATCGACAGAGTTGAGGGGCAAATGGTTAGATGTCAACGACTAGTGATGTTCCGATTGTTGCAAGTCGCGGATAATCAGTTACTGTTATGTAAAACGACAATAATCGATTCACAAAAATTTGTTCCGCGAAATTTTCGTCGAAAATGTTTAAAGTATCACAGAGAATTAATTCTGACGGTTATTTTCTTTTTGGAACACCTCACCGATCGCAAGAAATCATCTCAGAGACAATTTGGAGTTGAACAGGATCAATAAGAGATTTAAACAATAGTAATATAATGTAATGTGAATGGTATTATTTGTCATCCATTGAAAAATAAAATCTATTTCGTAAAATTATGACTATATAAGGTTAAAACTGTGTTGAAAAGTGCTAAATGGAGTTCGTGTTACTAAATATAATCAAGTGCGTTGGTAAGAAATGTTACTTCCCTATTTCTTTTTAACGCGACTTTATTCGAAAGTTATCGATTATGTCCCATCCGACTGAACCGATGATCGATCGGGACAAATTTCATCTGATTTCAATCACTATCAACAAATTTCATCTGATTTCAATCACTATCAACGACCATGTATGCACCTCCCATGTAGTTTAAAAGGAACATTAAAAATAATTGTGAACATCTGGTGATTCATCCATTCTAAAAGCTGAAAAACTAGCATTAATTGCTCAGTTAGCTTTGAGAAACTGATGAAATCATAGTGTAGCTTGTAAATCAGTAAATCATTCAACTTACCACATGATGTCAAACATTGGAGAGCTGACCGGTGAAGGAGAGTCCATGAAACATCCTGAAAGTAGTTGAGAAAATTTATTAAAACTGTTGATTTACTTTCTCTGAAAAACAAACTTTACTATAAAATATGCTTATAGCATGTTGAAAAGATTTCAAAAAGTTGTTATAATAATCCAAAGAAAAAACAAACAAAAGAGTAATGTCTGAGAATTGTGGGATCTTTTTGTCCTCCTTTAATATGTCATCATATGATAAACTACAAACCATTGAAGAAAGCATTTACGAGAAAATACCTCATTTCAACTATCTGAAAATTTAAAGTGAAGGGAATATGGCCATAAAAAGCAGGGGAAATCAAAAATGTCTTAGTTATGGTATGTCAGCCTGCAGGGTTCTATGAGGATAGAACTTTAGTGTGGTTATCAAATCACAGTTACAACCTTTTTCAAAATTTTAGTTATGATTATACCTGTCGAAAATAAATTCATTAAATAATGCTGTATTTTCTCATATCTTAATTTATTCTACAAATTATTGCTTTAACAAATATCAGATTCTTTATTGTGGGTATTAAGCTATAATATACGTCTGATCAGTACATTTTGTATTGTAATGCTTGACTCCCTTTAACTAGAATATTCAGGATTAAGATAAATAAACAGCTTTAAAAAAAAAAAAAAATTGCCACATTGGTACATCAATGATGCAATAATGAGTGGATGTTATTGGACCATCATTCTCTAATATGGCGCTGTGTTATTTATATCCTTCAGGAAATGAATTTGTTTTAAATTTTCATATAAACTACTGCACATTTCAACCAAGTTCGAATATTTATGACCAATTATAGCAAAATTCAATAATTTCACTTTGAAGTTTTTTATGTCCATGTATGAAAACAATACATCCATTAATTAAAATGTTTGGTTAAAATTCCATGAGAGATGTTACATCATGTTAGAGATTACTTACTTATTTATAATAATACATAATTTTATATATTTCCAGGAATTTGATCGACACTAACACTTTATATACAATGCCATTTATAATACTGCATGTTTGTTATGTCGCTTTTCATTGGATAATTGTGTTTATATTATTAGTTATAAAGATTGTTGACAGGTTATATGGCCCTATATAAACGGTTGTTTGTAAATATAACACGAGCCGCTAGACAAGGGTTATATTGCAAACAGCCGTTTATATTACGGTCATATAACCTGTCAACAATCTTTATAACGAATTTATAATACAGCAAACATCATTTTTAGAGAAAAAAAGGTAAGATTTCTTCATGAATCGACAACAGCCGTGTATATAAAACTATATAAACGTCACGATTATCCAATGAAAAGCGACGTTACAAACATGCAGTATTATAAAGTTTTATATACAAGGCTGCTGTCAATTTATGAAGAAATCTCTTGCTGTATTATAAATTCTTTATAAAAATTTCTGACAGGTTATATTGCCGTATATAAACGGTTGTTTTCAATATAACCCTCACCTAGCGGCTCGGGTCATATTTCCAAACAACCGTTTATATAGGGCCATATTACCTGTCAAAAATATTTGTAACTAATATTAAATATATACTGTTTTCTTAATACATGGCACAGTGTTCGCTTAGCTGTTAAAAACATCTGATGTCATGTATATATATTGAAGCACCAGAAAAGACGCACAAAGAAGACAATGTCGGACTGCTATGCAAACAATGTCAGGGCTGGCAAAAACAATTGTCCGTATTGCCCAGGTTGTCCCACAGCCAGTACGGACAAGTGAAAATTTTCAAGAATAAACTTAAAAAAATGCTTCACATAAAAATGGACAAGTAAGTCTAAATCAGATTTTGCCGGCCCTGAATGTGCAAAGTAATTCACTTATACTATTTGTTGGAAGAAATGAAATTTAAATCTAGAAATATGCAATAAGATAATTTTATGCACAGATGTAATTAACCCTTCATGGTGCTGAAAATATTGCTTCCGTCCCTCATTCTATTCTTCCAAGATATATATGGCATTATAGTTTCAGAGTGCTTAAGCCATTAGAATTCTAGAATTGTATTTGCATTATTATAATATAAATAACAATTATATTTGAATGTCATGATTATCCTATGAAATGTGATATTACACGCATGCTGTATTGAATTAGTAACGATTCGCCACACTAATGATTCGCCACATAACGATTCGCCACAGAGTAATAACGATTCGCCACAGTTAAATAACGATTCGCCACAGTATGATTATAACAAATCAACAAACTTTTACCTTTTGTTTTAATAATTTGACAATGACAATAATTTAATAATGTTTCTTAATACAAGTAATATGAAGTTAAGGCCCCCATCGCGGATTTTCAATTTATCAAAGTAACATTATTACAGGAGTACATTAACAAGAAAGTAATTATATGTTGAAATAATTATTGAATTACTCATAAACATAATTATATTTCAATTAATATTTATATATAAATATATAGTTCATATATTATAATATATGAATAATGTCAAATATTTAAACAAAGTATTGCAAAAACATGTGTTCATACGAAAATTGATTTACGATAATTGATTAAAGAACGCATATGTAAAACATTTGTCACACCTTTAATTTAAACAAGCCAATCACCTTAGGATTGTTGTAGAAATATTTAATTGACGCCGAAATAATCCTTTAATTATCTGACAATGTATTCAGATTTCAAAACAATGCGGCAATTAAGCTTATGTTTGTTTACAAATTAATTTGAGCGAGCCTATATTATGCCGATTAAGAGGGTTTAAATAGCTTAAACACATACATAAAATAGTATACAAACGAAAAATAACGAAATCAGAATCATGCCAGCTCTTCCTTGTTCATTCTGTTTAAGATGTATCTACAGTAACCCACGTGCTGTAACATATGTGGCAAGTGTCAAAGATGGCATCATGTATAAAATGTGGAAACACAGCGTCGCTTGAAAAACGTTTTGTTCTCAGTGCCATTTTTTTGTTTTTGAGAAAAAAGCATATAAAGATTTAGTATTGCATAACTTTTTATTTTAATTGTCGGATTTTGAAAATTTAAAAACTACTAAACGTGGTGTCGGAGAACAACTCAATATCGTTAAAGATTTGTGGATTTTAATATTTCCTTGCTTAAAAACCTAAGAAAACATTTGGAGATAGAACAGTCCTTGTAACTTTTTTCAAAAATTGTTAAAATCAAAGTGTTCAATGTGACTTAAAACATTATGTCTTTTAAGTTGAATTGATTTATGTCACATAAAACAGAAAGGCTGCCAAAAATGTTCTCGGCTAATTATCCATTGTTTAGTAGTCTTTGAGACCACATTTATTTCGTAGACCATATGCATCTATGACATTTGAAATTTTATTTCCAGTACATTATTAAATGACATTAAAACAATAATATAAATAAATAAAGATAAAATACCCACATAAATTTGTAGACATTTTTTTTTATCTATTTTTATAACTTTAGCCATTACAATTTAATACCTTCAAATTGATTCAATGTCTAGAAAAAGAAAGCTGTAGACGCAAACGGGATTAGTTAACTTTCAAATCCTTTAGAATGCTGGAAAAATCTTTCAAGATTTTTTTTCATGAAATTCAAAAGATGGTCAAATTCAAATTCCTTCCAAAAGTTCGCAATAGTAATATTTATGTTGTAATGCGCTTTACACGTTCTGTTTGTATTCGTAAGAAGTTCTTCTAATTGTAGGTATGGCTATAACTTAAGTAGGCAATGAAACGTCTACTAGGAAAGACCTTAAAGGTAGTAGAAGACTTATCCATTTAAAAAATGTCATATTTAAAGATTGTCCGTGTACAAAACATTACAAACATAATTGCATTTAAATATATTCAGAAATTCAAAGACCAAATTACAAGACAAACTAAATATACGTACACGTATATTTTTCCAGTTTATATAAATAACGAAGTTATAAAATGTGTTATGTAATTTTGTTAATAAAATATTTGGTTTTCGTGTGTTTTTATTCAATAAAATGTGTATTTAGTGTAATTAATTTATGTAATTAACAAATGAAATATAAAATGGAAAAAAGTTTTCCATCAACAGTTTGAAAACAGATGTGAAAAAAAAATGTATTTGAACACGTGGCGAATCGTTATTTAACTGTGGCGCATTGTTATTACTCTGTGTCGAATCGTTATGTGGCGAATCGTTAGTGTGGCGAATCGTTACATTACCGCTGTATTATAGCACGAGGTTAATCTTGATAAGCCCTTACTGCTTTTAGCGGAGCATATAACAATTGTCCTTTGGTTTAAACATATTTATTTAAGCTCGATTGCGAAACAAGTTCTTGCAACTTATATTAATCACTTTCGAGTCCGCTTCCTGGAACCAACCAGTACTGGTGTCATATGAAGAAACATGGTTGTGACCCGAGTAGGGCTCTAACCCATGATCTCTGGGTTGAGAGGCAGACACCTTAACCACTAGGCCACCACTCCCCCTTAAAAGGACAATTGTCCTTTCAGCACTGGCCTAAGAAATTCTATTCTACACAAAAACAATTTCGTTAAAAAATCAGTATACTGGTATAATAACTATTTTGTAAAAGGCGTAATAGAGAGATTTATTAATAATGTAACCGAACATATCAACTAAAATATTTTATAAAGCAGCAGTGTAAGAAATTAGGATTTGAATCCACTAGACTGGTCGGGCTACTAGACTGGAATATTCACTAGCCCAAAAGACATTTCACTAGCATGATTCACTTGTTCAAAACCGGAGTTCTGAAAATACAGTAGCCTTGTCGGGCTTGTTCCTTTGAAAACTTAGTAGCCCGAGGAGAAATTTAGTAGTCAGGGGCTATATGACTACTGCTAATTTCGAACACTGAAGCAGCAAAGCATAGCTAAACACTTTTTCCTTTTTGAGAACATAAATACTTATTGGTAGTATAGGTATAAAGTTGATGAAATAAGATCACACTTACCATTAATATTAATATCATCAAGGCAAAACAAGTCAAATCTATGTCCAAGTTCCATTATGAAAGTAGTTAGGTTTGTAAAAAACAACAGACTAATCAGAACAACATGCACACCACAAATTGTTAATTGAAATGATGTAAAAATGTACTACAAGGAATGAAACCAAAATTGAGCTAAATTTTGGGAGTAATTGTAATTCAATGGAAAGTGTGGTAATTATCACACTTTTAGAAAAACTTTTACTGGGTTTCTTTCAAGTACTATAGATGAAAAAGGTGATTAGAAAAGCCCTGTAATGAATCAATTACAAGTAATAATTGCATCATAATTGAAATTTAATGGTTAGCAATTGTTAACATTTGAACTCATTCACACCTACGTCCAATTTAGAGGCTTCTAACATTGCCAAGTTTGCAGGGTTAGTGTTAATTGCTAACATGATTTTCACACCAATAAGGTGTTTGCTCCATTGTTATACATACTTATTATTATTTATGAAGTACAAGTTATTTCTTAATTTCAATTAGATATGTTAACAGCTACAGATGGTTGATTTTGATAACAGGGCGTCAAATTTTATTATGTATTAAAATGATAATTCAATTAAATTTTGTGGTCAGACGGTTATAATAATAATATACACTTACTATATATAATAAAATTAAGTAGACTAAAATAAGACATGCACTCATAGTAAAGAAAAGGAAATTTATAAATTTTAATATAATTTCTATAATATTTCTTACAAAAAAGATAGCAACACACATTTGAAGGGGTGTAAAAGATAAATATGTACAGATTTTTCTCAGGCACAGGCACAAAAAAAAGCAAGAAGCAAAAAATAATTGTGATCATTGAATTTCAGCCCTTAAGCCGCCTAATGAAAACCCAATGAATATTATTTTACAATCTTTAAAAGTGAAGACCTATATAATTATAAGAAGGAGAAGAGTGTTGAATTCACTGTATGATAAATTAAGTGGTGCACATGGACTGACACACTGTAAGTACACTGACAGGACTGATGTTCATTTCAACACGTCACTAGACACTGGTCAGCCAGACAGACACTCGGTAATTATGGTAAATGACAAGCTATCTGTATTTTGCATTTTCAGAACATTTTGAATTTTTTTAAATCGGTGCAAAACACATAAATGTTTGCTTCTTAAACAATACAATTTTAAAATTAAAAGTTAATTTTTTTTTTTTTAAAATAGTATATACTGATATGTAGGTAGAGGAATTACTATTAGAAAGCTTGGCCATACTATGGTTTCTTTATATTGCACACCTTAAACTCTAGGTTTTTTTTCTATTTAAAGCTTTATCTATGCACATTCAATAACATGAAGAGTGAAAATATTAAATATTTTCATTTTGCACCAGCTCCTCCTATTGTAAGTATTTACATTACATCATACACAAGTCCTAGTATTTAACCATTACACAGAAGCAGCAATTTTATGATGTAATCTCATAATTTTAAGGGGGATAATGAATTAGAACAACAACATAACAAATGTTTGTGCAAACACTAGACGCAAACAGGCTACACAACAATGACTGAGATTTACACCTCTTTTCAGCACCATTAATTTACTTCATGCACTCAAACCACCTTTTTTTATCCAGAAAATTAATGTTTTTGCTTTTTTCTTTGAGGGTAACCAAACATTCTTCTCTCCTCTTTTGAAAGTTTATTTTTATACACCCACCTTATTTCTAGATTTAAGTGTTTTCCCGCCAAATAATTACAAAAGGAAAAAGATAATCAGCCCTCTTTTGAATCTTTATTTTTATACAGCCACCTTAATTTCAAGACTCAAGTGTTTTCCATCAAAATGATAACCAGAGAGAAAAGATTATCAGATTCATATGGGGAGCACAACATAGCCAAATATTTCAAATCACATATATAGAAATCAATAAAAAATATATTATACACAAATACTACAGCATATGACTGTATTTGGTAAAACTATGCTGAACAGCTGGTGGTATAATTATAGGACATTGTCCTGGCCGTGTCTGGTCACACCAACAACCCCTACTGTCACTTGTCATGGCTAACAGATGTTGGACTAATCTCAACTATTCAAGGCACGGAAACACTTCACATCAACACAAAAATATAAAATAGAACACAGTAAAATCTTAAATGTGCTGAATAAAAATTATGGCTGGCAGTTAAATCCTTTTAATTGTAAGTATACGAATATCTTGCTTGGTTTCAATTATTAAATGAATGTTAAAGTGAAATATTTCCAAAATTTAAACAATAATTTTAAACACAAGTTATAGGCCAATAACAAGAAAGGCCACTGGTCTCTTGATATATAGTATTAGAGGATATTGAATGAGTTTAAGTTCAGTACCAAATTTATTCAATTAAGTTCAATAAATTCAGTAGTGAACCTACATGAATATAATATTCTGTTTATCACATACCCAAAATAAAAGACTGCTAACAGCGCTTTTATGTTTATATAGCACCAATGATGTCACATCAAAATCTATACATTGCCCTGCAATACCATTGTTACGAAGTCGAAAAAGCGTCACAAGTATGTGATAACATATATGAAAATGCAACTTTCCAATTTTACTGAAGTTTCTTAGACAAATAGTTCAAGTATATCACCAGTGCCTATTGGACTATAATTCATTCAGCATATCAAATTCAAAATTGATTTCTGTTTGTTAAATTCAAATCAGAATATCAGATTGCTTTTATTCATAAGGCTTAAATTTTATTGGAGGCAAATAGATGCAAAACATACAGCATATGTTGCCGATATAAATATTTGCCCTTTTTAAAGAGTGCAGCAATTTAAGGGGATAATGAGAGTTTCTTCCGCTACCAGTTGCAGCTGTTGATCACAAACCACCGATTCTTTGTTCAAGCAAGCCATAAAGTGATCCCTCATTAAAAAGCCCTATTGAAATAGAGCCATATACGGCACACGACAGCTGAGCCACACAACAATAGGGGTTTTCGCCTTCAGGGAGAAATTTTCATTGGAATGGGGGAGATAGGGTTCACTTGAAGTGTCGTTAACCTGTACAGGAATGCAAAAATATGGGTCAATAGGCCCATGAACAACGGTTTCTCAATGTATTTCCGTATGTACTCAATATAATTCTCCATGTTAGGAAGAGGAAAATGTAACAACAGACTTTACATTGCAGGCTGTCCAGCACCTTCTGACAAAAAATTAGGGCAAATTTTAGGGCAATTTTTAAGAAATTTTAGGGCTAAAATTTAGGAATTTTAGGGTAAATAAAAGAAAATGTAGGGCTCAAATTTGGAATTTTATACTAAATTATGGCCTCAAAAGACCATGATATGGGCTCAATTTTGCATATTTGACACAAAAGTAACTCACAAATAATGCTCTAGTTCGGTTATAGCAAAGGTGTTACCAGTGTTCCATAGTCACCAGTGAATAAATTGATTCACTGGCCAACTGCCTTTAAAAAGAGCTGAAAAACTACATTAAACATAACTAGAATGAAAACATTTTCTAAGTTATAAGAATCCAGGAACAACCAATATTCAATTAGTTAAGCTATGATTAGCCAATAAAAATGTAACTTCCTTGGAAAATTTTTAAACAGGTGACTATTTTGATATAGTCAAAGTGGTACAATTTTCATTGTTCCATTTAAAACTAACAGTTTCTTATATTTTTCTGATAACTTCTGACAATTAATCAAGTTAAAATAATTAGTAAAGATATAATAAGCCGATAATATATGGAAGGGGATGTTATGCTTTAAATTTATTTTAGCTATAAATGCATTTCTTACCAACATTTTAAGGTTGGTACATGTTCAACAAGTCTTGATCTTTCTTAAAAAACAATAAAAATGATATGACCCACTAGAGTCATTCCCAGGCATAGTTAAACTTAAATTCAAACAGCAGGATATACACATATGAAGAACTTGTTCAAGATAAATCAGGCTACTAAAATTGTAGAAAATTTCACTGTTCAAGATAAATCAGGCTACTAAAAATTGTAGAAATTTGATTCATTGATTTTCAACAGTTTTTTTTCCAGATTTTAAAAAAAACTTACACTATATGTTATTACATATGTTCAGTACATGTTAATGTGTACAAAAAGGGCAGCTGAAGGTGTCACTTCTTAGTAATTGGGTAGCAAAATGGTTAAAGCATCCAATCACTACTGCCAGTTTACCTTACCCACTTTATAATTAGCAAATATTGAAACTTGTCTAGATCTGCCAGCTGGTATCACTTACAAAAGATATGTTCTACAGTCATCACTTGAAAATAACTTGATTACAAATTAAGATTTTATTAATAAGGACCCCTGCATGCAGTCTGATGAAATTTAGTGGTACATCGTGTAAATAGTTGCTTTAAATAAATCTAAGACTGAGGTAAATGGTAAAAACTCTGTAGCCAATAAAAATGTGACTTCCTTGGAAATTTTTTATCACAATTTTAAACAAGTGACCATTTTGATATAGTCAAAGTGGTACAATTTTCATTAAAAACAAACAGTTTCTTATTATTTTTCTGATAACATCTGACAATTAATCAAGTATGGCATTTCTGCAGGAGTTGAAGTAAATGCAAAGCGTGACTTATGCAATTTAGCCAGACATGATATCAACTCCACTGACTGTGTTTGAAGTTAGGTTGTGATTGAAACATGGTTGTTTCTGGATATGTTTATCACAAAAGATAAAAAAAAAATAGGAATTAAAGTGAAAAAATAGGGCATTTTTAGGAATTCCCTTTGAATTTTTCATTTTTTTAGGAATTTTAGCCAAACTGAAAAAAATTAGGATTTTTTAGGAATTTTAGGGACGCTGGACAGCCTGACATTGTTATTTCAATACTCTGTAAAATAACCAAATATGCAAATGAAATGGAAAAGGGATCTGAAAGGAAAAACAAATTGACAATTAAATGTCTGTACAGTACCTGATTCAGAAGAAATGGATCTCTCTGTGGTTCGGTTGTAAGGTGGTGAATTTGGTGTGTCCAGGCATGATAATGACAGCTTCCTTCTTGGAGTATTTCTTCAAATATAATAAAAGTTTTGTTTAATAAAAGGAAACTACATGTCCAATTTAACAATTTAACAAAAAATTTATCAATATTGATTCAGCAATTTAGAAGGTCCTACCATATACTAGTATAACAAAGTATTTACTCTAATTTGAAGTGATGCAGACACAAGTATAAATACACCTCTATTATATTATTATTATGTTTAATGAAATATATTTTCTTTATAAAAAAATACCAAAAATTTGGATTATCTCCTTTTCCAATTGCATTATTTATCCCTAACTTTAATCAAAGACCTTTAATAAATAAAAAAAAACCCTGATTTATTATAATAGGTAGAGGAATTACATATATTATATAATTTAGTCCATTATTAAATAATCCAGCACATTATTATTATTTTGCAAAGATAAAAATCTTATCAGTATTACAAAATCTACAAGGTGCAAAATTTAACAGTAAAACTCACATACATTTTACAAAATGCATTGAAACATCCAAATAATCCACAATCCATATTAATTTTAAGTAATGATATTTTTATTTTAATTACATCCAAGTTTGCATATATATTGATGTTCTTCCAGTGAAAACCAAAATTCTAATGAAAAAATATATATATGTAAGAACCATATAAATACAATTATAATACTTCTGAAACAGTCTTTAAAAAAAAGCAAAACAAACAAAAGCAAGATGTATCATGAATTAAAGGGCATTTTGTGTTGCACGTTGAAACAGCTACATTTGTTTAATCCCTTTTTAGCAGCATGTTAATACAAATTTTTCTAGTGCAAGATGCTACTGAGTGGGTTGTTTGTAACACAATAAAAACACTGGTTTTATACACTGACCATGGATTATCTATGGATGAATAACTACCATGTTAAAAGTTATACAAATGATGTAACTATAGAAAGAATTTTCAATAATTGAAAATGAATAAGTTACAATTATTTTTTTTTTTTAATTCTTGAATAAGTTATATGGTCTTTTTTTTCAATTTTTGAAAACAATCAAATGGCGGATACACTGATTATGTCAAAAATCTGTAGCCTAAACAGTTTTGAAAAGCCTTCATGGCGGAAATCTCACATAACTAATCTGTTAATTGAATTTTGAACCTTGTAGCACTGTTACCTTTATGTACATGGAGACCCTCTTATGTTCAATGACCCTTTAATGTCTTTATCAAATACCATCAGATTTAGTCAGCAAGGTTCACAAAGGACCAGTATGTTTTAAACTGGGTCAAAACCGTTTACTTTGTTTTTATAATTCAAATTTTTAAAAACTACCTCAAACAGCTAAACTTTATTCATTTAGAAACTGAATTGTTTTTTTAAAAACTTAAATAACTAGTATTAATTCACTTTCACTCGAAAAATATTAGGTACATTTAAAATGATAACATCAGTTCAACTGCAGCTAAATTACAGCACAGTTTAACTGTTATTAGTATAATCACAGTCATGTCTATTGAAAAAATAAAACTTGAAGAAAAGTAATACCAAACCAACATCTGACATTCATTTCACAAATTCTTGCTATTAAAAGCTTAAGAGAATATCATAGCATTACAAGTTTTACGAAGGTCAATGCAACAACAAAGATGTAGAAATCAATAAAATTTAGAGAATGGTTAAAAATACATTGTTTAGTGAAATGTAACTGAAATTATAGCAATAATATTTCATTTTCCCCCACATATCTGGGGATACTGTCAACAGAACTGAGATGCCACAATCATATACAGATATTAAAGTACCAGTAGCATCATCTTATGTAGCAATCAGGCCTTCTTGACATTTATGTGGACTATTATACCAGAATATTTTGATATGTCCTAATGAATATTTGATACCAAACATCATAAAAAACAACTATTTTACTAATACTTTTCATTTATTCTTTTACTTAATATCTTTTTCTAAAGAAAAGATTTTCTGACCTGGGAATACCAACTACAGAATAACTGTACTTTGTTTGTATAAATACTAGAGATGGCATTGATTGAGTTTCTGCCATTATATAGCTGTTCTGTTCTATATAGCATAGTAACATCCATTATGAATAATGCTTATCAGCCAAATCAACAACAAGAACAGGAAATCTCAATACACAATAAAAAGTTCCCATGTATTGATGTGAGGCTGAGCGCTTTTATAAGATTTCATTATGAAAATGAAACTTCATAATAAAAAGGAATTAATATGAAAGTGCTCACTGGCGCACATTAACTAACTAAATACAGGTTTTCATTATTCACTGAGTGGCAATCCATATCATCAGCTGAAATGTTGTTTAAATTGGTCACATTTTCAGCCTGTAGATAAAAATATCCCCATATTGTTTTCCCTCCCAGGGACAATGTCTGACAATTTTTTTATCATATACAGATACAGGGTTTTACATCTCTTTGAAATTTTAGGGGTCCAGTGGATGCACAGCCTAGAAAAGTAGGGGTCCAGGCCTGAATTTTAGGGGTCCAAAATTATATTCACTATAAAAGACTATAAAGACCACTCTATTTTGCATAAAATCACTTACCTGTGAGAAATATGTATGTATATTGTACTGTTTTCATAAGTATGATTTCAATATCTTTTATCACTAGGTTTTTTATAGCCCTTTACAATAATATCATGTGCTATTTCCAAGGCTTATTTAAGTCTTTGAGTGGCTGGAATGTCAAGTTTTAGTAGCATATTTTGTTATTGATAAGGTGATTTGCATGTGACACCAACAGACTGAGAATTTGTACTGATCTATTTGTAAATATTTTAGCTGAACTAGTAAACACACAATAGATATCTTTACAGACCAGTCAGCTAAATATGTTGCGTTTTTAAACGGTACGTTACGATACCGAAATCAACTTGATTTCGGTAAAGTTACCGAAATCAACTTTTCATTACCGAAATCAACTTATAAAATCACAATTAAGCGTTTTATTATATGTTTTTCATTATAATATATTACAATAGGTTAAGTTTGACTGTCATGCAAAAAATCAGTTCGAAATAATTATTAATAATGAAATTAGAAACAAATAACTAAATATCAAGATTATTCCCTGATTTGTCACGAACCGAAATATATGTTACAATGCCGAAATCGACTTGGAAAATCATAATTAAGCGTTCTATTATATTTTTTCATTATAATCTATTACAATAGGTTTAGTTTGACTTTCATGCAAAAAATCAGTTCGAAATAATTATTTATAATGAAATTAGAAACAAATAACTAAATATCAAGATTACTTCCCTGATTTGTCACGAACCGAAATATATGTTACCATACCGAAATCGGCTTGTAAAAGTTAAAATAAACATTTTAATAGATCTTGTTTAATTAATTAATATAAAGTCATTCAAACTGAACCATAAACAAAGTAAAATAATATCTAATTATAAAAATGACGATGTTATAGACGGATATGTATATTATATCATGATTACTTCCCTTGTTATTACCGAAATCAAATCAGATTTCATTTCAAAGATGAGAACAACCCCTAAATAATTTGCATGAATTTCAGAAATAGTTGATTGGAAATTATCACAGTATTTAATTTAGATCCAATGATTATGATTTGATTAAAAATAAAAAGACGTAGCGGTAGCCATTCATCATACATTGTAACACCTTTACTAATAAGGAGCAAGCATACACGTGCTCGGACAATGGAGGTGTTAGTTGACATAACATACTCGTTCACCGTAGTCCTTTAATATACATGTACATCGGCGCATGGAAACTTTAAAGTATCCAAACAACATTATTAGACATGATTATTTTTAACATGAAATTAAAGCTGCTTGTCTCCATTAAGACGAAAAGTACATTACAGTTTAATATAAAATGACGTATAGCGACAATCCCTATATAATATATATCAAAAGACTTTTTTTTATAGTTTTATACTATAAATATACCAGATCTAGTAAGCTGGTAAAAATATGATATTATATTAAATAAATTGTCAAAAGATCTGTTTTAACTTACATATAGGGGTGGTTTCAATTATGAAATGTTGTAACTTGTAAGATTTGACATGTTGTGTATTACTGTATTAAGTAAGGTGTGAAGTAATTAAGACAGGAAGTACAGTTGGCATACAATGTATGTTAACGATAAAAGATTATGATGAACCATCTGTTTATGTCGTAATAAACATTTAAATAAATGACTAAAATTTAAAAATATTATGATAAAGAGTCCCCATAACATATGTTAGCGATTTGTTAATATATAGTTTAACTGTTCAATAAAAGAAAGACACAAACTTGCCAATTTCCAATTTTAAAGTTGGATGTTTTTTCTTCATAAAACATAAACATGTACAAAATTTATAAATATCTTTAACTCATATTACAGAGTATTTTATTTTTCCATCATAGTCCGATCATAGCTTTTTAAAACTGCGATTTGATTAGAAAATTGTAATGCACGTCGATATCACGTGCATATATATATTACATGCTAATACGGCGGTATCAGACTTTTTCTTAAATCATTATATACATTGCATTCTAATATGAAATGGTATTCGTCTTCTAAGACATTACATGAAAAGCAATTTCTATCATTAAAATTGTACTATTTGGTTTAGTTCATCTACTTGATTCTATGTGCAATCTATGAGACGATACTCTTAACCTAGTGAGATCTTTACATATTTCTGTTTTTAAGTTTCAACCATATCTAAATATTATCAATGTAAACGGTCTTTACAAAACCGTTCAACATTGATAATATTTAGATATGGTTGAAACTTAAAAACAGAAATATGTCTATAAAATAGAGCTCTACTAGAGTTATCTAATCTATTATCTAATAATTATAGACATAATTTAAACTTCACAGCTGATTTCGGTAATGATAAACACATAACGGATTGTTAAGAACAAAGGGAAGTAACTCAATAGTTACATTTTTGTTAATAACATCATTAAAATAATATATTTTCAATAGATTTTTTAACTGAAAGTCTATTTCCTTATTTTTCATCAAATGATGAAGAAATAATAGCAATATTTTAACTAGTTTGGTTTTTACGAGTTGATTTCGGTAATGAAAAGTTGATTTCGGTAACTTTACCGAAATCAAGTTGATTTCGGTATCGTAACGTACCCGTTTTTAAAAATATCATACAAAAAGGCTGACGAAACCGCTTTTGCACCTCCTCATAAGTTAAGTTCACTGAAACCATTATATTTATAACACCAACGATAATAACATACCCAGTAACTTAATTTCTTTAACACTACATGAAAATAGGTTTGCAAAAAGCACTACTTTTTTATTATTGCCGTTCATGTACAAAATACATTCGCCGAACTGGTAGATCGACATTTTGGACACGCTAACCAATAGTAATTGCTTGTTATAAATAGTCTGTCTAAATATAGCAACAGAAAAACCAAAAACGGCTACCTAAAATAGATTTTACGGTAAGCGTCATCAGTTACTGTAGCTTGCACGATAAACGTCATCAGTTTCTGCAGCGGGCACTTGCAAATAGCATGCGCAGTAGATTTCAATTATGTTAACTTCCGAAATAAACAAATGCAAGCATTTTCTGCACGCTGTATTAGATTAAAATGGAATTTTGTGAGCTTCGAGAAGAAAGAGATAAAATCATGTCGGGTCAGAAACAATAATATCTATTGTCTAGGATTATTTTTGTGCGTACACTTGGACGCAAGTAGATAACTTATATGCGTACATGTCAAAATTTATGCGTATAGGGACGCAGAATTCTGCGTCCCGTAAAACCCTGCAGATACATGTACAATAGTGACAAATGCCCGAGGTGTTTAAAATCTAATTGGGCCTACAAAATTCTAAAGATTGTAAGCCCAATGGGCGTCTTGAATTCAGAATGTTTTCATACAAAACTAGTAATATACAGATAATGCTCGAGTATAATCATATATGTTTACTGGTTAAATATCAGAGTAAGTTATCGTAAATTTCTATTAGAATACATTGATTTTAAGACTGACCCGTTTAGATTTGTGAACAACAAGCATGAACCAGCTACATTAGACGTCTGAAGCAAAACTATGAGTAAAACTGTATTGGATTTAATAAAGGGATGCCTTTATTGGAATTAGTAACGATTCGCCACACTAACGATTCGCCACATAACAATTCGCCACAGAGTAATAAAGATTCGCCACAGTTAAATAACGATTCGCCACAGTATGATTATAACAATGATATTTTAGTTATCAACAAACTTTTTTCTTTTTTTAATAATTTGACAATGACAATAATTTAATAATGTTTCTTAATACAAGTAATATGAAGTTAAGGCCCCCATCGCGGATTTTTTTTTATCAAAGTAACGTACATTATTACAGGAGTACATTTATAAGAAAGTAATTATATGTTGAAATAAATATTGAATATATATTAATCGTAAACATATATGTCAATTTATATAATTATATATATGTCAAATATTAAAAAAATGGGTATTGCAAAAACATGTGTTCATTGCGAAAATTGATTTACGATAATTGATTAAAGAACGCACATCTAAAACATTTGTCACACCTTTAATTTAAACAAGCCAATCATCTTAGGATTGTTGTAGAAATATTTAATTGACGCCGAAATAATCCTTTAATTCTCTGACAATGCATGTGAACAACTGCACAATTGGATACTACTACATGTAGCTTTTGTCACTTTGTTTTGTTAACAATGTGTTATGTTATTTTGGAAATAAAAAATGTTGAGATATTAATAATAAAAAAAGATATTATAAAAAGCTATTTTTTTATTTTTTGGGGCTATAGAAATAACAAACTTTTTTGTCATTTTGGTAATAAAATATGTTTTTATGTGTTTCTATTCAATAACAGCTGATTTAGTATAGTATTCTTTTCCAGGGTAAAGTTTTAAAAAATGTTAACATATAAGTTTACACTGTGTATATATATTTTGTAATAAAATATGTTTGTTATCATGTGTCTTTATTCAATAAAAGCTGTTTTTCGTATAATTTTCCAGTTTACATAAATAACGAAGTTTAACTTATCTACAATGTGTAATGTAATTTTGGTAATAACATATTAGGTTTTCATGTGTTTTTATTCAATAAAAGCTGTTTTAGTATAACTAATGTATGTCAGCAAAATCAGCAAAAAGAGGTCAAAATATGCAAAAATAGCCCTCACTGAGTAGGTAACGTAGTAGAAATATGGTGAAAAATACTGCTAAAACGGTCAAAAAATCGCCGATTACATATAAAATTATTACTGAAGTCTTGAATATTTTTATTGTTCTTATAAATCAAAGTACTGTTTCTCTTGAAATAGTTGGATTCATCTGGAGGCATGCAGCTTTGAAAACAGGTGTGAAAAAGTTTGTATTTGAACACGTGGCGAATCGTTATTTAACTGTGGCGAATCGATATTACTCCTTGTCGAATTGTTATGTGGCGAATCGTTAGTGTGGCGAATCGTTACATTACCCTTTATTGAATGCCATGCTTCCTTGTTGATATTTGCTTTTATAATTCAATTAAATAAAGAAGAAAGCAATAGATTGACATGTAAGGTTTGAGTATAAGAAGAACAAATAAAAAAGAGATTTTTTTTTAAAAAAGTGCCTAATTGATTTTCTGTGTTTTGTTCCTAAATTGAACTTGTTGATAACAGATGGGAATAAAACGTAAAATAAACTGTTGCCTTTATTTTGCACAATAAATGTTTGGGCCTGTGATAATTTGTCTGAGCTTATATCTTCACCTAGAATGAAGGCTCAAATGGCCTATGATTTAAAACAGTTATTTCGGAGACTGTTATACATGTATTTTAATAAGCAAGAAAAGTTAAACAAATCTAAATAGAACATTATTAACCCTTTCCCCCATGAGCATATTGTGAAAAATGGCCATTTTCACTGAAAAGCCTCCTCTTACAAGTTCAAAATGCTTCAATACTAATCAAACTTGACACAAATGTTGACTGGACCATTGCCTTTGTAACGACATGCTCAGTCTTAAATTTCCTGTTACCATGGCAACGAGGGGACATGTCAAATTTGCCAAAAATCTCTATTTTGCCTCGATTTTTTCCATCAAAATTTATTTCAAAGTGCTGCCACTTCTCAAGGGATTCAGATAGAGTCAAAGGCTTTTCAGCGTTGGCTACACGTTACCTTATGATCGACCTGGGGTCATTTTTAGCCTCTCACAAGTCAAAAATTTTCAGGCCTAAAAAAAGGGGGGGGGGGGGGGGGTCGAAAGTGCGTTGTTTCGCGTATATATGAGGTAAAGGGTTAAGGGTCTTCTGCTTTTGACAGATTTAGGCAGTTAAAATTTAAAAAAATATTGAAGGGGAACATTAAAAAAAAAAGAAAACATACGATTTTCTAAGTGAGAATGGTGATCAAATTTGGCATCAAACTTTGTGAATTTAAGAGCCCAAATGTTATGTCTATTGCAAGTGTTGATATAATAACAGATCTGTTTGCTTATGTCATCGGAATATGGACTCCCGAGGGTACAGTATGGGAAGCATCGTTTCAAATCCAACCACTCTACTGATCGGGAACCATCAACCAGACACTTTTTCATACAGATTTCATAATTTCAAACCTAGAGACCTAAAAATTCGAAACAGTACAGCTAGGTTCTTATGATATCCTAACTAACAAACTAGTTTGTTTATTTCTGATTGTTTTGACACTTATATTTCAGGCTCGTGAAGGAGGGTATCAAAATTACATAAATTGTCTTCACCACAGTACAGTATAATGTGTCCGGACAGACATGTAAATGATGTGATTCAATTCAGATAAAAGCTTGGGTGTTTTAATTTATCTTTAACATGATATACAAAAATTTTAGCAACAAACGCTGAAATTTTGGATATTCTAGTGTTTACTCTGCAAATGATTAAAGCTGGTATACGAGGTCAGGCATGGCTTTCTTGGCACCCAAATTTCAACGTCAACATTTTTGAAATAGACATTAAAATATTACCATTTACGGAGGTTGAAATGAATTTATTTACTTAATTATAGAAGAAACATGCATTTCTTGTTGATAAAAAAATGACTGACAACCGATGAACAAAAACAATACTAAATCAAGCATTTTCGGGGCCGTCCAGTTTGGTGGTTCTCCGGTTTTGGTGGTCCCGAACCAGTATAATTTTTAACAATCTTCCTTACATTTAAGTAAAAAACATTCCAACATCATAATTACCTTCCTGTGCTAAGCTCACTTAAATTCAATGTTAGGTTTGTCATGGGAGAGCTGACACGGCCAAGCTTGTTAGTAGATGACAAGTTCTGTATAGTGTTGCTTGTTGCTAGTGTCCTTAGTGCCAAGGTAGACAAAGGATGCTGCTGCTCCATGCTTGTATAATTAACTGATTAACACAATATGACAGTCAATATTATACCTTTATTTTCACACCAATCATCAAACAACACTTTCAGTACCGCTGTGAGTGCGATTCTATTGTTTCAGTTGGCTACAGAACTAGCATTTTTGACAGCATCTTTTTGTTTACAGCGTGCAGATCAAAATCGAAAGCATGCTTTTCATTTATAAAACAGATTAGAAAGCGTTGTTTTTTGTCGATTCATGCGAATGTTGAACAAGATCAAAGCCTTGTCAATGATTCGTTAAATGTCAAGTTCTACCCGTTGCATGTTTTCCCAAAAAAAATCTCAAAATTCTGGTTTATTGTCTGTAATTTTAGAGTCCACCGCCACACCGTTTGAAAAACAACAAGCTCTCAGCCAATCAGCTGATGACTTCTGCAGATAGTTAAAACAAGGGAGAGAATGTCGTTTTACTAAATTCTGAATTTAACTAACGCAAGATATACTAATCAAAGATATACTGAATAAAGCAAAGTTTCATATAATAAGAAACAAAAATTTAAGTTTTAAAACATAGACAAAATGATAAAGTGTTTTTTGAATGCCATGGACGTTTTACACAAATTACCATTAAACACCAAAAAGCCAGTTTGGTGCGGCAAAATACCTGCGTCCCTGATTAGACACAATCAAACCAAGCCTACACCATTTTCAATTTTATCATGATTGTTGACTTTAAGATTTCCATTTGAACTATCCAATAAAGGGAAATAGCTAGTCTTTAATCATCTTACAAAACAGCAAAATTAAAAGTGTCGCAGGCTCGGTTTAATTGTGCTTCGTCTTTCCAAAATAAATAAATAAAAAAATGTACTAGGCTAAATTTTTATTTCGGACCTATACAATTAATAAAAGTAACATTTAAGTAAAAGAGACCGTTGCTTTTTTCATTTTTTCCCCAACTCAAATAAATGCATAAGCAAGCTTGATCTAAGCTCCAGGGAAGAATGATATGTCTTTTCGGACAACTTCAACCCAATACCCATGTGCAAAGCATCTTATAAGACTTTAATTAAATATATTTATAAAGGAATATCAACAGGTTGTAAAATATATAAAACTTTTACGATTTAGATTCTGTGTTGAATTAAATCCATATGAATTTTGCTTTTCCAAAGTTTCTAACTTGCATTATTAAAATGTAATTAGTGAACTTTTTTTTCTATAATATTAACACCACTATGAGAAAATATTAACCTCACTAAAATATTATATCATATTACTTCCCAGATAATGCGTGTGACCGTGCTTTGACTTAGCTGACTTTGTTTTTGCAGTTGGGTGTTTCACTGTTTTCGATTTTCTAGTTGGGTGTTTCACAGTTTCCAATATTCCTTATTTTAGTAATGTTTTATCACCTCAAGGATGTCCTTTGACTGCTGATTCCCTTTTTAAACTTCCATTTTATTTATGTCCGCCCACTGTTTTCAAGTTAAGGGAACACTCATTCTTTCACTTAGGGACCTTATGTCATTTTCATGGAATATGGCACTAACGTGTCAAATTGAAGATTTCATGATAACCGTCGCATGAACACATCTGCGGAAGCAGTGTTTAGTAGGACCCCAGCAACACAGGACTACAAGTCCAGCGGGCACAAGGGTAACGCACGGACGGGCGATTTTGTAAATAATTCAATATAGGGAATCATCGCAACCAGTAAGGCCGTCACGCCCGTCTAAAATATAGTTTGGTCGCAACACTGGTCTTAATAATGTTATTATTGGCCTCCTGTGCATAAAAAAGTAAATACATGTATCACAAAATCAGATTATCGTTAATCTTTCAGCATATTATTAGATACAACATTACACTGTTGATTCAATGATCACTAATTTATAGCAATTATAAGTGTTATATGTAGTTTTCGGTAATTGTTAACTATTACAACGCACCGTTCTTGCTTTGTCCTTGAGCCATGTCCTCCATTAAGTGCCTTGTTGGTGCCGTATCGGTGATTCGTTGTTGCTGGGATTTATTGGGGGTTGCGTTCATTGAATGACGCTTTCTAATTGATCTTTTTCTCATATTTTTTCTAAAGCATTTCTTAAGGAGGGACATAGCAAAATCATGAAGGTTATTTTTTTTACTAAAATCAGGTTGTTTGCTATGACTTAGATTAAATCAAATTTAAAAAAACAAATACGTAAAATCTATAATAGGCGCAATCTTCAAAATTCCGAAAAGATATTTAGAATTGGTGTCTATATACTTTTTACCATTAGTTCTCCATTAACCTTAATTAGCATAGGCACAATAATTTAGTATTAATAAGAGATAATTTAAGATTAATCTACCTGGGTATAATACTGGAACCTTCAAAGATGCACATCATGTCAAACATGGAAAAAAGACTCGGTTTCAAAATTATACAGTTTTCCAGTAATTTATTTATATTTATTTTATTTGCAAATCACATATCGCAGTTACATAAACATCACTAGGCATATACATATAGCAAATAACAATTTAACATATAAACTATCATTTCATAAAAAAATATATAAATGAATTTTTTAAAGTATGGACTATGGTATAAGTTAAGACGAAGGTAACAATCATGAAAATCAAAGATACAACAACCCAAAACATAATAACTAAGAGTACAAAAATTTACTTTAAACTACTAACATATATATATTATTGTCTATAAAGTTAACATAGGTGATATAGACGAGGATATCTAAAATATAAGTTATGGTTTTTTTTTTCAATGGGGAATGGAAGAGTTTAAATTATTTTATCTAGTGTTTTTTTTTATGAATAAGAGATATCCGAACAAAATTTAGTTTTATATAAGTTGGGCACTTATTATTAAAAGTCTTATGCATATGACAAAAGCCTTAGCTGTTTTACTCAATTTTTAATATTTAGACTGTTCACATCTGTAAAATCTGAAGGATTTTAACTAGTCAATGGATGGCTATCTTTAATAGATCTAATGACTTACTTTAGCCATTTGTAGTTTCTTTTTCGTTCTTTATTCAAACTTTCATACCAAGAGAAGCAAGACTTGTCAAAATGACATAAGATTAAAGCTGAACAAATCAGTTTTCTACCATTAAAGAATATACATCTGCTATGCATGTAAAAAATTAAGCTTAGCGTCTACTTTACATATACTTGCCATTAATTTCTTTTTCTTCACCAGGTAAAGTAATTATATATGAACAATATTATTGATCATTTTCGTTTGAAATTATTTACTAACATTTTTGGTAAATATTGGTGTTTTTGTGTAATTTCAATCACCCCGTTTACGAGCAATGCTACGCATGCGCATAGTCTTGGCGCGGAATATGTACACAATCTTTTGTCAAATTTATCGCTCAATTTCTTTTGTTCCGTAATTTTAAGTAACTTTTCTAAAATTATAATATTTTGAAGTAACAAAGATACAGGTATAAAAATGGCTGAAGTTCACCCGTATAGGAGACCAAAAACAGCGCAGAGCAACCTCGGCCAAGTACAGGATTGACCGGTAAAGTTCATATTTATTTTTTAAAATTTTTATAAAGATATTTACAGCACGGTTGTAGATCGCAATAAGATTATATGATAAAATTTGTGCATGAATGTTTATTTTTCCACCTGCAGATATTTATATTTATTTAATTTTACCCATGAAATATGGTGCTATATCAGTCAAATATATTTCATATTTTTGAAAAATAAATATGAAATATAAATATGAAAGTGGGCGGAGTCAAAACTCATATTTATTTTAATGTACTTCTTTCGCCGTTTTGTTTGAAAAATCTGATAAATACAAAACAACTTTTTCTTGAATATTGTTTTGAAAACTAGCTAGCATGATAGAAAACGGTCTAACTAAGAAAATTAATCCGAACACCAATATCTTTAATTCAGTAATTAACGCTGTACAGACGTTTAAAGAGTTGTTTACATGACGTCACAATATAGCGCCAAACAGCGCGTGCTTACGCATAAATTACTGCGCGCTGTACAATTGCAGTTGGTAGCAAGCAAGGGGATTCGTCACCATTTTCTTTGACAATGAAATTAAATAAAAAGGTTATTTTTTCGTTTTTCGTGAAATATGGTATATATTTTCACTCAACATGATGAAATGCCACATATTTTCACTCGCCGTACCGGCTCGTGAAAATATGTGGCATTTTATCATGTTTCGTGAAAATATATTCCATATTTCACGCAAACGAAAAAATATCCTCTTAATATTTATAGCCAATTAAATGATCAATATTTTATTTGTATTTTGTTGTAAATAATTTGGGTACGTTACGATACCGAAATCAACTTGATTTCGGTAAAGTTACCGAAATCAACTTTTCATTACCGAAATTAAGTCGTAAAAACCAACCTAGTTAAAATATTGCTATTATTTCTTCATTATTTGATGAAAATTAGTGAAATAGACTTTCATTTAAAAAATCTATTGAAAATATTTTATTTTAATGATGTTATTAACAAAAATGTAATTATTGAGTTACTTCCCTTTGTTCTAAACAACACGTTGTGTTTAGCATTACCGAAATCAGCTGTGAAGTTTAAATTATGTATATAAAATACATGTATAATACATATATAGTGATTATTTAAGATAATCTATGTTTTTGAAATTAAAGAAAACCCGATTGCATTGATGAGAGCGTTCAGTTGCAACTGAATAGATATCGCGGGTAATATCTAGCTGTTCAGTGCATCCAGACCACACCACGGGGATGCGCTCTCTTCATGGCCCATCTTTTTTCTTTTCTTTATCTTTTCTTTTGTTTTAAGCAATAAAATATATTGCAGGTTTAGAGATATTTGGTACACAAATTATGTATGTACAGCAACCATTTATTACAAGACATTAGCACAAGCATGTAATATATCTGCACGTGATTGTCGTGCATAACAATTTTCTAATCAAATAGTATTTTTAAAAATCTATGATCGGACTTTGATGGAAAAATATAATACTCTGTAATATGAGTTAAAGCTAATTATAAGTTTTGTACATGTTTATGTTTTATGAAGAAAAAATATCCAACTTCAACTGGAAGTTTATGATTTTCTATTATAAATTTGAATACAAATGCATAATTCGACTGCTCTAAAAGATTTCCATAAACATTGTATAATGTATCAGGCAGTAAAATTGGAAATTGGAAAGTTTGTGTCTTTCTTTTATTGAACAGTTAAACTGTATATTAACAAATCGCTAACATATGTTATGGGGACTCTTTATTATAATATCTAATTTTATCACACACCCGTGCCGCTTTTGCGACTCCGTAAATATGGTATTGCACGGCCGTGCATATATTTTGACGTGACGTCAATAGCGTTATACAAACATAGTGTAAAGACGCGCTAAATGGTAGCGTTATACTATAAGCGCGTCAATGAAAAATGTCTCTTATTTCACTTCAAACAGCTTTATTTTGGGTACGTGATAAATAGAATATCAAATTCGTTCAATTTCAATACTGAATTTATTGCACTCGTTGAATAAGATAATATTATGCTCGCAAGAGGCTCGCTTAATGTAGTTTTATTCAACTTATTCAATAAATTTGGTATTAAACTTACACTCATAAAATATCCTCTATTTATATATTTTATTAATATTTCATTTATTTAAATGTTTATTACGAAATAAACCGATGGTCCATTATAATCTTTTATCTTTAACATACATTGTATGTCAACTGTACCTCCAGTCTTAATTACTTCACACCTTACTTAATACGGTAATACACAACATGTCATATCGTACAAGTTACAACATTACATAATTAAAATTTGTCAGTATAAAGTGTGCCATTTATTCCATCATATAAATCATCATTCATATATATCAGCCATTCCATAAATTTATGCTGTTTACAGATATGAAATTTAAAATGATTATAAATCGATCAACATAAAATCATGTCTTAACAACTTTTTCAATAAGTAGAAAATGTAGTTATTAATACATTATAAAGTATCCGGGATATCAAAAAATTGCGTACATTTTTAAATTGAATACTGTGATAATTTCCAGTCAACTATTTTAATAATGATCTAAATTAGGCGGATAACTTAAAACACAATTTTGTTTAATCTTGTATTTTGAAATCATTAAGAAACATCTAAGAGATGATACGCTGCTATGTTATCTAACTCAAGGGAAAATCTAAACATTGAAAATATGCAATATGAATTAAAAACTTAAAACTCACTCAAATATCTTTTTTTTTCTCATAGACTTCTGAAATTCGTGCAAATTATTTAGGGGTTGTTCTCATCTTTGAAATGAAATCTGATTTAATTTCGGTAATGCAACACATTAATAACAAGGGAAGTAATCATGATATAATATACATATCCGTCAATAACATCATCATTTTTTATAATTAAATATTATTTTCCTTTGTTTATGGTTCAGTTTGAATGATTTTATATTAATTAATTAAACAAGATCTATTAAAATGTTTATTTTAACTTTTACAAGCCGATTTCGGTATGGTAACATATATTTCGGTTCGTTTAGTAATCCTGATATTTACATATTTGTTTCTAATTTCATATTTATTAATTATTTCGAACTGATTTTTTGCATGAAAGTCAAACTAAACCTATTGTAATAAATTATAATGAAAAAACATAATAAAACGCTTAATTGTGATTTTACAAGCCGATTTCGGTATGGTAACATATATTTCTGTTAGTGACAAATCAGGGAAGTAATCTTGATATTTAGTTATTTGTTTCTAATTTCATAATTATTAATTATTTCGAACTGATTTTTTGCATGAAAGTCAAACTTAACCTATTGTAATAGATTATAATGAAAAAAATATATTAAAACGCTTAATTGTGACTTTATAAGTTGATTTCGGTAATGAAAAGTTGATTTCGGTAACTTTACCGAAATCAAGTTGATTTCGGTATCGAAACGTACCGAAATAATTTGGCTTTACGGAAAATTATAGGCATTCTCCCCCAAACTGGTCCCCCGTACAGTTTCTCCTCCAAATCTGAAATATGCAAACTGTCCCCCATCCCCCTTCTCAATTTTCTATTATTTAATTTGAATTTTCATATTTTATTGATGTTTTAAAGAAATTTTATTGATCATGTTATTATTAAAGAGCGCAAATTTTATGACTTTATAAGTTTATTATGAGAAATTTTATAAATAGGGATAAGGGTGCAAATATTTTGTATGCTTTTCTCTCGTCTCTCTTATTTTGATTGTCAAATTGTCTGTTAACAATTCGTTTACCTCTCAATTACAACCAAGGAGAAATTTAGTATGTCTGGCTATAGGACGTACTGCTAATTTCGAACACTGCTTAACATCATAACAATTCTTACTATTTTTATGTACAACAAAGCAAAAATTGCCTGAAATTCCTCTCGAAAGACAAACACATTGAAATTTACCCTCCTGCATAGAGCTTTGATTCAGTACATTTCATCGTTAGAACCTAAAATTGATTTAAAAGACAATTTACAGATAAAATTCAAATAAACTTTTCAATATTTTACATTTATTTACCTTTACAAATCTTAATTACTCAATAAAGTGTGACTAACAATAAGAATATACTTATCACCATTGATTACATTTAACTTTTTCACCTTTGTTTAACTTAGATACAAAATATAAAAAAAGTTTGGGATGAAATGTCTCGGTAAAATTTCATAAAAAGGAGAGTTGAATTGTCTGGGGACAGAAGTACTTGCGGGAACGACAGCTTGAGCCTCAGGCTAATTTTTGTCATAATCAGCTTCTATCCCACTTACCTGCCTGTTTCTTTTATTGGAATTCTTGACTGAAAATAGGGCTTGGTGTGATGTTTTTAGTAGCTTAAATTTTGAATTTTATTTATTTATTTATTAGGAGAGGTAATAGACCTGATAGTGAAGGACCACTTAGCCCTTTACGAAGCCCACTACGAACAGATGATGGCCTTCATAATGCAAACAGAAGAAGAGAAAATAGACGGAACAGGTTCCAACAGATGTAAGACTGTAAAATTGTTATTTGTTTTGTTATTTTTCATATTCAATCACTGGAAAAATTGTGAGTCATAATTTAACAATTCTCAAATTACTAAAGTGAGAATTCATCACAGATGAATAACTGAATCAGTTAAGAAACTTTAATCTTAAACTCAAAACTGAAAATGTGGTTTTCATAGGAACAACATACTTTATATGTTTGTTTCAGTGTATAATTATCTAGTTGATGGATTTATACAAATATTAAAAGAATAATAGAACAACTATTTGTTTCTTTCTTAAAATATAACTATCAGCAAGTTTTATTAGCTACTTTTGTTATATATCTTTGTCTCATTTTGTGTGATGTATGAAAGGATTCATATTCAAAATATTTTCAGGGACACCCCAAGTCCAAAAAAGAATGAACTGCGCTTGAAACTTGATGAATTTCCACCTCTGCCAAATGAAGCGTAAGATAAATGTTTTGTTTTTAGATGTAAAAAAAAATAAAAAAATATCTGTAAATGTTCCTGAACATGTAAGGAAAAATATAACATTAAAACATTTTGTATGAAGGAACAATTCAGCCATTTTTGTTTTGGCATAAATAAATGATTGAAATACTTGTTTTATTCAAGAAGATTGCTAGTAGTCTAGTAATGTTTTTTTTTATTCATTTCTTGATAGAAATGCTTTGCAAACTTGCCTATTTCAAACTACTTTTTGTGTCGCCTTGAAAAGGTGACATATAGGGGTTACTTTTGTCGGCGGTGTCGGCGGCGTCTGTGTCTTGTCGGCATCCGCTAAAGCTTGTCCGGAGCATAACTCAGTCACTATAAGTCTGATTGACTTCAAACTTGGTATGCATGCTTCTTTCAATAACCCGAAGTGCAGTGCACAAGGACCGGTACTCTGCAGTTCTTATTTTTTGAGTTATTGCCCTTTGTTAATTTTCATACTTTAATTTTGTCCGGGCCATTTCTCTTCAACTAAAAAAGCTATGGACTTGAAACTTCATAGGATGATAGATCTCATTAAGAAGAAATGCAGTGCACAAGAACCAGTACTCTGCACTTCCTAATTTTTGAGTTATTGCCCTTTGTTAATTTTCATACTTTATTTTTGTCCGGGCCATTTCTCCTAATGTATAAAAGCCATGGACTTGAAACTTCATAGGATGATAGGTCTCATTAAGAAGAAGTGCAGTGCACAAGAACTGGTACTCTGCATTTCTTATTTTTTGAGTTATTGCCCTTTGTTTATTTTATTACTTAATTTTTGTCCAGGCCATTTCTCTGAAAGTATAAAAATTATGGACTTGAAACTTCATAGGATGATAGATCTCATTTAAAAGAAGTGCAGTGCATAAGAACTGATACTCAGCATTTCTTATTTTTGAGTTATTGCCCTTTGTTGCTTATCTTACTTTATTTTTGTCCTGGTCATTTTTCCTCAAGTATGAAAGCTATGGACTGGAAACATCATAGAATGATAGATCTTATTGATAAGAAGTGCAGTGTACAGAAACTGCTGCTCTGCACTTATTATTTATTTAGTTATTGCCCTTTGTTATTTTTCATATTTCATTTTTGTCCTGGCCATTTCCCCTAAACTACATTGTTCACAAGGCGACACATCCGACTTGCGGAGTTCTAGTTTCTGTTTTACACTTGGAATTCTGTTTTACACTAATGACTTGGAAAAAAGTAGTTTTTGAGAACTTTTGCAAATTAAGCACTTTAAATTCCTGAAGTCTTAACTTTCTGAATTTGTGAAATGGATTTACCCTGCTTTGAATCTAGACTTTTCCATTTAAAGTTAAAGGAATATCAAGATCAAAATATAAATAATGAGCTACTAACGTCAAGGCTGGTCTGGCTCTATACTGGTGGCAAAACATAATCATTTCTTGTTTCGGCTAGGGCTGTTACAATTACTCTGATACTTGGATATTTGTGAATCAGACCGTGGCAATATGTATCAAGTGTTAGTTCCAAGATCATTTATAAAAAAAAATTTGAACTTCTGAATAATGAAAAGTTCTAACTGAAAAACTAGCGTGTCTGACAGTCACTATTTAACTTTGTATTGTTTTCTTTTCCCATGCATTTACCCTTTTCTCAAACATTTGTTTTATTTATTTTTATTAAATTTAAACATTTAACTGTTGTTTAAAACCATGTAGAAGTAATTCTTTATGTTTATTATTATTTTTCTTCAAACAAAAAAGTAATTACTTTTAATTTTAAAAACTATTAGATAATAAATGGTATGATTCTTGAATTGTCACGTTTGATTTGTGGATCGGATGTGATCATCATTTGCCTTGCAATACACAGCCCAAGTTCCAGCATGGTTAAAGCTTGATACCTAATAATTATGTATTTAAACAGTATTACAACACTGTTTAGAACACTGTACAAGTGTGTGAATACAGTGACAGTGTGATTTCTGATTTCTCAAGCATTATAGAATTTTTATTTTTACATTCAGATGGACACCAGAAGGCAGTAAATTTTTTGAAACAAAGATTGACTGGTCAGCTGAAACAGAAGTTGATAGACAGTAAGTTAAAGTAGTTAACTAATTAATTAGGACTTCCAAGATATTAGGATTTTTAAGCAGGTGCTACATAGATGAAGCCTAAGTCCTAAGACGAGTAGATAGTCCCAGAATTTATCAATATTTACGTTCCTTGCCCAAACTGGCAGCCATTTTGGGGGTCAATATTCTATATAATATAGTTGACATGATATAATATGAAAACATAAATGTATAGGCATAAAGAAGGAATGTATTAAAACTGTCACAGAGACTAACACAATTACTGGGCATTTTTTCGCCTGATATTTTTGTTTTTGCAGTATTAATCTTTACCATGTCCTTTATTTTCAGGCCTAGAAGAAAACTTGATTTGCGCGAAAAGCTGAATATATCAAGAAATTTAAAGTCAGAAAATGTGTCAAATGAAAAGATCACACCTAGAGCGCCGTAAGAATAATTTAGATTATAGAATTGATTTTGGAGTCTGTAGAATGTCTATTTTGTTAAGGAATTTGATGGTTTTATTTTGTTAAGGAATTTGATGGTTTTATTTTGTTAAGGAATTTGATGGTTTTGTCATGCTTATTTGATTCAGAGCTTCCGTTAGGTTTCAAAATTTGGAAGTCAGAGACTGAAAATTGTCTGACATTGGAAGTCATATTATATAGGTAAAGCTGGAAAAACATTATAATTTCGAAGTCACAAACCAAAATCAAGAAGTAAATGACTCCCAAACTTCTGTTAATGGAAGCTCTGTTGATTAATTGCATCATCTTGGAATCAGTTAGCTAAGGGTAAATTAGTGGAGACATTTTGAATTGAATTTCCCACAGGTTATCACCTTAGTGCAGTAACTGGTTAACTCCTATTAAATTTGAATGGGAGTTAACCGGTTTCTGCACTGTGACGACATATCTGTCATAGAATTCTGGCTGTAAGGTGCGTGATGAGGTCAAGTAAATTTAATTATTAGCAAGCCAGTAAATAGGCTGACCAGGGGTCTGTTATGATTTATACTATAATCAGAAACAAAAAATTTTGCTTTATAATGTAATCATTATCTGATTAGACATGTTGTGTGTGACTTAATGTTTTCCAGTAGTTTGTGAAGCATAACTACTACAGTAGTACTTTTAATAAAGTCCTTAACTAGACCTTCTGAAGTCATAATGGGATACAAAAAAAAATGATATACAGAATTCCCAGAATGCTCAAAACAACAAAATTGAAAATGTTGCAGGCTAGGTTTGATTGAGTCTGTTAATGAACGGTACTGGAAAGTGCAAGTTATCGTCCATCAGTGTTGCATCTAGGCCGCGCGATTGCGCGATTTGCGCACTTTTTATGCAGATCGCGCATTTTAATGAAGTCAGTGCGCGCCAAGTCGCGCATCTGATGATCTTTTCAACTTAATTCAGTTTATCTTCATTGTATCTTAAACGATTCAGCCATGTTTGTTTTCACTCGTGGTTATGACTAAAATACGTACTAAATCGCGTGTAGCAGCCGACTGAGTCATCACGCATGTGTTTTTTAGTATTCGTCAATATTTTATTTTTTCTACTTCCGTTTTTGAGCGGACAATAACTGTCAAAAATGCCTGAACGTAAAATAAATGAATTCTTTTCGGTATGTCATATTGTAAGGTAAAAGTATGTCCCCCACATTTTTTTCAAATCCCCCACATTTTTCAATTGAGTGGGGGACAATCCCCCATAATTTTGAAATTCTAGATGCAACACTGGTCCATGCCCACTAGCACTGACTTGAGCAGAATTCAACATTTAAACATGACAATGGTGAAATTTGGAATTTTGAAACTGTTCATACGGCCGTTATCATGTTACCTTCAATGTGACATTCCATGAACATTTACTAGCAAATGAACTTTCCCACAGTTGCTATGGCATGAGAAATCTGAGAAAATAAGTTGTTCAAATTTCCATTTTATATCGTATGAATTATAAGACTTGACATGATATACTTTTGCAGGTTATTTGAGATAGAAACAGATGAGAAATTATTGAAGAGGAGGCAGAAGGATATAGATTATGGGAAGAATACAATCGCTTACGATAGATATACAGAAATGATCCCAAAGTAAGTAGACAGATTGCAGTATGAGTTGAATAGAATGATTTGTTTTCTCAAAAGAACATCTCACAAACTGTGTATAGCATTGTGTTTAGGTTTTGGCTCCTAAACCACACTGAGTTAAACTTCTATAACAATGTTCCTTGGGTGATTGCCTGGCAAAGTTTCTCAAAGAATGCTTGCATTTACTGTAATAATCCTTAAGAGACCTTTTAACAAAAATTGTCAAAATAATCAAAATAATTTTGATACACCACAAGGAGTGAATGGTCACCACTCTGTTTTTTTAGGAAATTTGGAAAATCATCATGTTAAACGAAGTCTGCTTATGATATTATTTAATAGAAATAATTATGTGACCCCTATTTGTACCTAGATTGTTTTAATAACTTTGTTGCATTATAATCATACACGTTTCCTTGGTCACATTGTACATATATCTGCCGCTTACTGCTGTGGGTTCAAATCCAGTCTTTAATTTTAGGGAGCTATCAAGCTAGGTTACAGAACTATTATGGTTCTACTGTGGTACCCATTCATATATTAAATACACAGAGGGGCTCCTGAGGTCTTTGTCCACTAGTATAACTGGAAAGAAAAAATAGCTGAATAAATATGTGTTTAATAAAAAAGACTTACTTTTACTTATTGTTGCTTGGATATACCTGGTACTTTGTATAATTATTCTATGAATGACGTTTTCTTTAACAGGAAGAATCGTGTGAAGGGTGTACATCCAAGAACTCCAATCAAGGTGCAGAAAGTAAGTCGTAGATCTTGGGATGCTCAAGTTAGGAATTGGAGAAAGACACTGCATCAGTGGGACCCACCCAGTGACAGTGCTGTTGATGGTTTGACTGGGTAAATGTGATACTTATATTTTAGATTTCTTATTGTTTCTTTTCTTAAACTTTCTTTTCTGGAGTTATAAAAGAAATTGCTATGGGTAATTGCTATGTAAATTTGACATTGAACATACAGATGATCTTGTATTGTGATATTGCTAAATGGAAGACAACAAAAGATGTCCATTATTAAATGTTCTCAGAATAATGATTTCTATCAACTTGTTTGACAGTCCTTAATTATACAGCCGTGTGTTCTAACAGCCTTTGTATGCGTTTAAATGCTTAACATTCATTGTTACCATTCAAATTCCCATAGTGGTATTTGAAAGTAAACAGTAAGAACTACTTTCGTTTGAGAATGTTTGTGACCCGGTGTCTTGTGATAATCACACGAGATATATTAACTTAAAGCTAGTTTAGTTATCGCCCTTTGGTTACGCCTTTTGTAACTTGCTTGTAAATGTCAACGGCTCGAAATTTTGTCATTAGATTTAGACCTATTCATGAGTTGAATTCCTGATGTGTCGAAGTTTTTAAGCAAGTCCCTTCAACTTCGGCTTACCGAAGTTCAGCTGTAATTTATTTAAGTGCTTAGCATCATTGATTAAGTTTAAAAAACAAAACAAAACAAAAAAACAATTTAGAGGATATGTTAATAGTGGTTGACCATATTTCCATCACAAAAGTATTTCTGTAGTATTTATTTTATAACCTGTTTTATTTAGAGTGATTTAGTGGAATGATATTGACAAGATTGATTGATTTTTACAGAGTAGCTTTCCTTGAAGCAGAAGACAGAGATTGTATGGACTCTAAAGATCACCTTACATGTATTAAAGAACATGAGATGATGGAATCTACACATTCATCTGATGCTGATGATGAGCACTGTAGTCAAACATCAACTTCCCCAGGGATCACCCTCACGCCAGACGTTAAATGTGGTCCATTTAAGTTCCCGAAATCCGGTTCACCGAAGAAGTCAAAAACACAAACTGGTGTAATAAGTGCTACTGTAACAATTAAAAAAGAGAAGGAAAATGATGATGGATTTTTCTCCGGATTTGACGTTGAAGAACCTATGAATGAAGACATGGACACATTGTAATCTTGTTTTTATTCTCTCATCTGTATCATCTACATTTATATATTATCATAATCAGGTAGTTCTGTAATCTCTTATAATATTGACTTGTTACAACCATCTAATTATTTTAAATTAAACTTTTGTCTATGTTTTGCAACACAGAATTTGAATAAGGGCAAGAAAACATGATAGAACTTTAAGGCTTTATTCATTTAAACATATAAAACAGTTTGCACTCAATGTATGTGTTTAATTGTTGATGACACAAAGGG